ACTCCTCACCTTTCCAAGTACAGACCTGTGTAAGGCTGAATTTTCTTCATATACTTTCCCCAAAACAACACATCAAAACAGACTAACTGGAGACATGACATTAAAGAGACTTGAAAAATGCCATTCTTCTCACTAATCTTTTTAAATGAAGTTACTGTTCCTAAAACATGGATTATTTTAAATCAATTCATCTCAGCTTTAGTTTCCAAGAGTAATATTAGAGTAAATATCGATAGAAAGAATCCACAAACACTGAAGTTCTTCAGACGCCTCAGTAACTTTTAGTAGAGTCCTGAGATGACAAAGACACCTACTTCTCAAGAGTCAGAAATACTTAATGTAAGCCACTTAGCAAGGTGCTGACGAGAATTAAATAAATCCTAACTATTCCAGTGCCGCAAATATTAATAGCATCTTTACAATGATGTACATTCTGTAACTAATCACTATGCTTTCAGCAACTGAGTTGCTAATGGAGTGTAATGTGGGAAATACTTGAAGAAAGTTAAAGGAAGAAAAAGCTTCATCCCACCGCCGTGGTGCTTTCCTTGGCCATGTGAAAAGGCGGGGTGGGGACAGAGGAAACCTGAACTAAGTTCTGAGAGCTGAGCCAGGAAACCTAGAATTGGGTCCAGGGAGGGCCTCCAGGGTCTTAGGTGTTGGTAACATAAGCAAGCCAAACAGGGTACCTACAAGCAGTCTCTACTGAACCCCAAAGTCTTCGACTGTCATGAAAACAAATCATCTTCTATGCGTGCACTAAAATGGCATGGTAGCAGGCCAGAGAATTCTCCCCACGCACGCAGCTACTGAGCAGTGAGGCCAGTACAGGCATACTGGCCAGACACCGGAGCTCAAGCCACTGCACTAAATGCCTGCAAGGAGAGTTTTGACTGAAATACAACCAAGTTTCATCAAGTAACTACAGAAAACACACATGCCTTCAAGCCCCAAGAGAAGGCTTCGTTTTGTTTACAGTAGTAACAAAAAACAGCGGTTTTGTTTACTATGAGAAAGCCAGATAACAAATGCTTCTTTCTACTTAGGACCTGACTGATGGGACATAGGTCTGGCTAGAAAAGGCAGGCAGAACCACAGTTAATGAGCCAGTCAGACAAAGATATCCCCTGCCCCAAGCTGCCCACAAAGCCACTTGCAGACATTACCACTATGTCCTCAGGATAGAGATTGTCGCTGAAAGAGCCATCATCAAAGTTGACTTCATAGAAGGTCTCAGTGGTGAGCGTAACCACCTCACACTGGTAGAAGCGCCCATTCTTGTGCTTGCTAATGACCTTCTGGCCCGCAGTGATGCTCTGCAAAGCTCCTTTGGCACGCTGAGAGAAAGAAAAAAGCCTTGGGTTACTCCCACGCTGACAGGCCCAGCGAATGGGGACCAAGGAAAATTGTTTCCTCTACCAGGGAAAAATGAACACCGGAATGGAAAGGTACAAAGGGAAGAGACGGGAACTGAAACAAGTCTTTCTGGATATACGGACCCAGCTAACACACTGGAATAAGTGAGTGTCACTCTTGCCTCCATGAAGGTGGCTCCTCCCCAGGTTCCACAGTGGGCCCTTATTCCATGTGCCTTTGCCCTGAACTGCCAGGACAGAGTGACTTCACTGCAGCTGTCAGGAAATGAGCTGAACAGCACACACCACTCAGACACACATCAACATACTCAATGGGTGATCGAGCCCAATGGCCCTGACAAAGCTCTACAAAGATCTCTGCCCTGACTCTGCCCTCTGGCACAAAGACTGAGGTTTCCTGGCTGTCCTCAGCTGCATACTTATTGCAAGGGGCCCTGCCACCTCCAGTGCCTTCCTGTCACCCTTCCCATTTTGAACCTATCCTTGAGGCATGACAGGCTCCCTGGTGGCATGGGAGTTAAAAGTCTCAGCGCTATCAAGCTACAGCCAGCCACTGCAGCACGAGTTTGACCCCCGGCCATGAAGCTGACCCACATGGCACAGCAGACCTCTCCTGTCTCATTTGCTGCTCCCCTCAGCAGTGTATTTCAGTAGATCCGCCTGTTCTGTTCCCCACTCTGTCTCTGGTGCATCATCTCACCTATCTCCCCATACCCCCAGTTCTGACCAACATCCCAGTTCATGTATGTATAGATAAATAAAAATAGTATCTTTAAAAAAAAAAAAAGGATGACAGAATACCTGATGGCTAGGGATTCCACCACACCTCCCACAACTGCCCAAGCTACACAACATCCCAGTTCATGTATGTATAGATAAATAAAAATAGTATCTTTAAAAAAAAAAAAAGGATGACAGAATATCTGATGGCTAGGGATTCCACCACACCTCCCACAACTGCCCAAGCTACACACTAGCCATACTGGCCTGGCTGTTCTCTGAACGTGCATGCCACATGTGTCCCCACTGCAAGGTCCTGGCACTCTTCCATTCCCCTAATGCTCCTTTCCTTTAATTCACTGCACTTCTCCCCCACTACACTGTATTATTTACTTGTCTCCTATACCTTTCAATTAATTGAAGGGCAGGGACTGTCCTCTTGTTCATGGGTATATCCCAGCATTAAAACTGGCATGTCTCTGGCATGTAGCACACATTGGATGAACACCCCATTCACACCTGACTCCTTTCCTAGATTAACAGGTCTCCCTGTTCAAACTGTATTCCTTGAATGCTTGAAATCACCACCCGTTACTATTAAAAATTTAGTTCATAGTCAGAATATTCAAAAGTTGTCCTCTAGAGGAAGCCAGGCCAACTGCTGCCTGGGACAGGCCATTTTTCCATCTGCAATCTTCAACAGCCGCCCTCTTGTATCCTCCTGCAGCATTCCCAGAACCAGCCTCATAGATCCAATTTGAGACTTGCTCATTCTGTTCCCAAAGGCTTGAATGCCCTCTTGTTCACAACTTCTACTTTCTGTTAAATGCTCGTTCAAATGCCACCTCCACCCAAGCCCTGTCATAACCCCCTAGCTCAAATTACACACATCATTCTCTGAGTCATCCTGTTTACAGAGGAATGCAAAAGTGTCCAGTATATGATGGTTTAAAGTTCACTTTTGGGAGTTCTTCCCAGGAGTCCCCAAAATATATACAGCTTCCCTAACACCATGAAAAGTAACAGGCACAGCCAGCCAGCCATCTCAGTCCATCCTGGAAGATGCAAACATGTAGAGAGTACTGAAAAGGACCTGCCACCAGCAGTTTGGTCCCACCGGATTAAGAATGACAAGGCAGGAAGCAGAGATGGACGAGGCAGCGATCACTCAGCCCCCTCCTTGGGCACACCCCACAAGACGTGCGTAAGGAAGCACGTTGGTACAGTAAATGGACAGCCTGCAGAAAAAACAGCCCTGGAAATTGTCAAGAGAATTCCAAAACACTCCCCCCTCCTCACCTCCAAATTTGGAATCTTGTGCCGAAAGCAGGTAATGAAGACAACAAAAGGCCAGTCGTCCGGCTGCATCATCACACCGGCAGCCTGAGCGCAGCTGACATGGAAGGCGGTCGGACAGCGGCCATGGGAGCACTGCACACAGCAGCCGGCAGCTCTTTTCCTCCGCTTCTTACAGAAGACGCATTTCTACAACACAGGAGCAAGCCATGAGGCCGGTGTCAGCACAGGCTCCTCTCTCATCCCTGCACCCAAATCCTCGAGCCAAAAAGCACGCATCAACCCCCTTTGCAAAATACGAAGGCACGCACACTCTTCCGGTCTGCTTGTAGTTGTAGGTGTCTTCATTATTTAAGTAGCCTTAACTACAAGGTGAGAGTCACAAACCCTGACCAAAGCCCAAGGCTAAAGAATGGGCACCAGACGGGGCAGAAGATGCCCTCAGAAGAGTGACAGTCCTCACCCAGAGACTTGGCAACAGGGCAGCTACAGAGATGAGCCTCTCCCTTCTTACCAGTTTGAAGCGAGGCAGGGGAATTTTGCTCACATCCACTGGACTTCTTTCTGCAATGTTGACAAACCTTGCTTCCAGAATTGCCACAGCACAGGCAACATGGACCCACCTGCCAAAAGACAAGACTCCTTCAGTCACCTCTGGCTCCAAGGCCCCGAGGTCCACTCACCTAGCACGGGTCTGGCAGTACTGCTCCTCCCTTACCCCACATGACACCAACTCAACCAGCAAATTCTCAGGGCCCGCTGAGGCAAGAGCCAGAGGTACCTCCACGCTGATTATGTGGAAATGGTGTCTGCCACACTGCCCCGGCGAGCACAGGGTCACGCTTCTTCTACCACTAACTCACAATCTGTTTCAGAAGAACAGAGCCACATCAAATGGAGTGTGGCAGGTTCCGGGACTGAGAATTAAGTAGAAAACTCTATAGACACACCTCTCTTGCAAAGGGACCTGGGGGCCTCCTCAAAATATACCAACTGTGCCCCAACCCGCCGGTAATTGCAGCACTCCCCTCCGGAGCCTGCCCGAACCTACCCGGGCTGAAAGACTGCCCTCTTGGTCCTCACAAGACTCATTCCCCACGGTCTGGCCCAAACCCCATGTTTAGTCAATACATACTGGTAAATTCTGGACATTTTGGGAAATTGATGTAAACCCACCTATGAGCTTAACACCAAGCCAGTGAAGCCCAGAACAGCCACGTGGGGCAACATGGAAGCGGCCCTCAGCACTGCCCGGGCTCTGGGTGGGGCGGGAGCAGATTTCTTTGGAGGGGCCCTAGCGGGCAGAATGAGGATGTTCAGTGAAGGTGGGAGGCTCAGAGCTATTTCCTCCCAACTAAGAGAACTTTAACATTGCTCACTAGCAATGTGAGGGGCACAATGACCTCAAGCAATGACAGCAATGCCTTCAAAGGAGTAGAAGGAGCAAGTCATAGGCATGGAACAACGGAAGGGGATCGTGAGTCACGGGCTGGGTGGTGTGTGTGTGCTCCACCTCCCCACAGGATTCTAGAGGAAGGAGAGTCACCACTGGGTTGACCCACCACACTGTGTACTAGCCCCTGGATGGCCAGCTCTTTCTGGGGAAAAAACCTTCTCCACCTTTCCTTGTTACCTCAGAACAAGTAAGTCCCAGACCACACAAACACTAAGCTCAGTGAAAATGAGCCACCTGTCAGCTGAGAAGTCCACCCATGGACTAAGATGCCCAAAAGGTCCATGGACTTCATCAGTGGGCAGGCTCGTATGAGCACTCAAGACCCGACTGTCCTACTGGAGGAAACTCGCAGCATACCAAGGGGCAGGTCTGAACCAAGGAGCTGTGGACAGCCTGTGGCCAGCTCTGCATCAGCCCCAGGGGTAACAAGGTCCCCTTGTTACACTGCCTCACTTTCAGCCCAGTCCTGCATCTTCGGAATCATGCAAGTCCTCAGAAGGACTTCTGTCTTACAGCTCAGCCTGAGGTAGGAAGCTGGAACTGCTTGGGTCCCTTATATCTCACTTTTAAAATTCAGTCTTGGAGATGCTACTTCCAACTCCAAAATTTGTGTTTCCCAATTCCTCATCAGTCATGAGCAAACCACTGTCCGCTTAGTGCGTCTGCAACGCCTGCTCAAAAACTCACCTGTCATCATTTGCTCTCTGCAGAGCTCCTCCTCGTAATGAGCATAGACAGCAGTCCTGCAAGGTGAGAGGGAGGAAAGGGGTCACCACCAGTCTGCTCGCCATGACTCTCTGGGCAACTCTAGCCTCAACAAAAGCAAGCAGCCAAAGAACAGTGGGCTTAGCACGTGCAGCTCCTGTAGCCAGCACTGCCCTCAGAGCACAGTTCTCGGGGGTCAAGTGCACAAGTGGCTGCTTGACTTAATCCTCTTCAGTGTTACTGTTAATAGCCACAGCACAACTTGGAGGCATCACAGGATTCAGACAGCCTCCTTGCGAGCTTAAGAGAAAACTACAAACGAACCACCTGAGCCCTTTCTGATACTCCCACCCAGCGTTACGCTATTTAAGAGGAGCTGTGGCTCAGCCACTGGAGGCCCCTACTAGAGCCTGCCACAATGGCATGAACCCAGCACCAGCGCGAGCCCTCTCACCACCACAGGATTTTCGCTACAGCACTCACTCAGACCTCACTGTGCACCCAGCCCTGCGCGGCTGCCAGGGATATGGAATCCACAAGCAACAGTCTGGCCCTGAGCAAACTCCAAATCTCACGGGAAGAGAGTAACAAGGGGACACACTCACCTCCTCCAAGGCATTGGCTGAACACCGAGAACACATCCAGTTTTCAGAAGCCTTTGCAGGGGGCACCCCATAACAACCTAACAGAAACACCAAGATAAACAAATGCAACTCAGAAGCCAGAGTGAGAATGAACATTTGCAATGCTTTTCCATATACTCCCTTCCACACCTATTAACCAAATCTTATAGGAAACCTTGAAATCCAGTGCTAGGGTCACTAGCTCTCAGCCATACAGCAAAGCCCATAATGCCCCAAAAAGACTAATACAATCATCCAGTGAGCAGTGGGTACTAATGCCCTCCTGGCATTTTGCAACAAGAGGCCAGCACAGAGCTGTGTGTGTGAGGCTGCACCCAGGAGTCACATGGAAATCGGACTCGGTACACAAAAAGGGCTCATACGCAGTGTGCCCCAGGGATTGAGGCAGCTGCTGGGAGGCTGGTGGGCGGCCTATGGGAGTGAGGACCTGCAACGGGAAGGCTCTTGTCCCCAGGACAGGAAACAGGGCAAAGGTAGGAGGCACTCACTGGCGTGGACTCGGACACTGCACTTCTTGCAGGAAACTAGAATGCTTGTGCCATCCTCCTCAAGGTATGGAGTGGAAAGGTTGATGTCAGTGCTGCAGCCAGTTGAGGTAAAGCACATTTCTGGAATCAGTGGTTTGGTCCTCTGCTGCTGAGGGGCTAAATCTGGAGTCTTTCCACAGTTCTGACTAAGGCCTCCAAACTCCACCTAAGGCGAGAGACGAGGGCACACCTCAGTGAGCACGCGCCTGTGTTCTCAGCTTCCCACCTGCTCCAGCAGCACAAAGCTGACGCGCATTGCTCCTGGCTCCCGGGTGCACAGCCATTATCCCAGAGCTGCTAATTGAAGTTACCTCTAATGACTCAAATTCAATTTCTCACAGCAGCATCAAACAAAGGCCCCTGGGGGACAACTGAGAAAAGGGAGCAAGTAAGAGGCAACTGGGATTTCCATCTTCCCAAACCGAGTGGTAATAAAATGCACTAGATGTTAGCTGTGAGACTGCTGCTGTGGGCTGCGTAATGTGCTGTGCGCAGGGCAGCCCCACCTGGGAGAGCCCCCAGAGCAGATACACCCCATGGGGCGGCCCCACTTCCTCTGGGCTCCATGCAGCAGGTCACCTGAGGTACAGCACTGTCACACAGCGGGAGCCCCACCTGGCCCCTGAAGGAAGAACACTATCCACCAACTTGGCTTGGCAAATATCCCGACTACGAACTCCACTGGCTCTGCCGCTGGATGGCACCATCACCCCTGTTCCAAAGACAGACCCAGGAACAGGGCAGCCCAGAGCCTATGCCGCGTCCCCAAGTAGATCTGCTAACAGTGCAAACAGCCCATTACTGCCCACACCGGCAGACAAGAGGTCTCTGGTTTTGCCTTTAGTCAAGGAAAACAAGCAGTGAGTTACTAATCCAGTGTGCTGGTCTGAAGTTTGTATTTTGGAAATATGAACATGGGTCCTGCCAAGCTCAGCACTGGAGTGGGGAGGTGAGGACAGACTATCTACATGCCACCCTGTTACTCTGAGTGTGACCTGGTCTCCTAGAGATCAACCCAGAGACCCCAAATGTCGCAACCATCAGAGCCCAGGAGTGTGAGGGCAGAGCTAAGCTCCAGCCTTTTGTTCCTCTGACTCTTGAGTCACTCTCAACTGCCAATACCCATGGAGGCAACAGGAAAAGATAGTAGATGTAACATAATCAGATCAGGAGCTTCATCTAAAGTTCAGATGGTAGCAAAGAAATTCACAGTCCTCCAAACTCATCAGGATTACAAGTCACCTGGAAAAAACAGTCACTGACTATAAGGGTAACAAATGAGCAGATTGTGGAACTCCCTGGTGGCCTAGGGGTTAAGTCTCATTGCTATCACCACTACATCTGAGTCCAATCCCTGGCCAGGGAGGTGACCCACATGGGGCAGCAGACCTCTCCTGTCTCGCCCACTGCTCTCCTCTGCAGTGTACTTCAGTCAGTCCTCCTGATCTGATCCCCACTGTCTGGTGAATCCTCTCACCTCCCCAACCCATACCTCTAGCCTATACCCCAGTTCTTACATGCATACATAAATGAAAATAAAAATTTTCTTTAAATGAGCAGACTCTTCGGTAAACAGTGTGTGTACCAAGGACAGTAAGGAACCCCAAGAGCCTAAGCTGGGCTCTGAGCTCTTCTCAAAGCCTTTCTGAGTGTAAAGCTGAGTTGCTGGGTTATCTGCCTGATGAAATTTGACCAGTACTCTTAGGGAACAGCAAGAAACAAGCCTTTCCCAAGACAACCACTGACAAGCTATACACCCATAATTAAACCAGGAGGTGGAGCGGGAAGTGCTTACCTGATGGTAAGTCTGAAAGATCATACAGACAGCACAGTGAGGGGCCTGCTGGGCCATGGTCTCATTGAATTCCTTTTCAGCCTCAAAGTTCGGGGGTCGATTCTGCCACAGCTGGCTCAGGGGTTTGGCCCAGGCCTCTGTCTCCTCAGCCTCCTCCTCAGGGGTCAGCTGTTCAGATGTCTCTAGAGAAGGATGCAGAGTGTGTGTCAGCGCCAGCCCTGTCTGAAGATGGGCGAGCTCAGCCAGATTCTTGGAGTCAGGTGTGATCAGGGCAGAGAGATTCCTTAAACACTTGAATGGTGCTGTGGGGAGTCCTGACTACAACTGTTTTCTGACCAGACCGACTCGCTGTGTCCCTCCACTCCACCTCCTTGGAGTGGAGTTCAGCCCACGTTCCTCTCCCTCACAGCCACCAGCATTCAACTCCTTGCCACCCATGGCAGTACAGTGAAACAGAACCATGTGTCTGCTTCTCCAAGGTTAGGGAGTTCTAATGTTCTTAGAGTTTTCTCTTTGGCTGTACTAAAGGAAAGCAAAAAGAAACACCAGGGAAATGGCAAATTGTAAACATTATGTTTACAAATTGTTTATATATTATGGTCCTTGGCCCATAGTTCTCAAGCCTCCCTCTGGAAAGGTTGGGGGTATCTGCCTTTTTGGACAGGACAACCCTCAGGAAAACTAGAGCAGTATGTGCCCATGATGAACCCCCTCCCTAAGAACGGTATGTAATGCCAGGTCTAGACCAAGGCTGGTACAAATGGCCAAGCCCAAATACAGCCACTCAACTAAGAACTCCCTTATGTTTTTTAAATGGTTGAGGGGTAAAAAGAAGAGTATGTGACAGAAACATAAGCCTAAAAAGTCTCAATATTTACTTATTTGGTCCTTTACAGATCCCTGGTACATTCAACATTATAGCTTAAGTTATCTAGACAGCCGAGCATGTAATTCATTGAGTGTGAGCACTGCCTAGGTGACAAAAATCCCCGGGGTGCATATTCCCAGGAAAACACATGCCGAATGGGAAATGATGACACAAATATGGAGGTGGTAAAGGTACACTTTCCCATCCCCCTGCATCAGAGAGAAGAGCACAGCACACTAGTTCCAGAGGCCCAAGCTCGAGGAGCTGAGGGAGCCCAAAACTCTAAGGCTTGTATTGGTGAATGAGGGTGATATCAGGTAGAGGTAAAAGCAAATAGCAAAATAAATCGATGCCCAAACTCTCTCCAGATTCTCCCTCCCTACCCTGCCCACGCAAAGGCAGTATGAGAAGTCACAGACGCCATGGCCTGCGGCAGGCGCGCTCAAAGAAAGGCCTCCCCACTGAGAACTGAAGCAACCCAGGCCTGCGCCAAGCCTGCACAGGTCTCTCCAGGACCACTGCAGCCAGCTGTGGGTCAGCAGCACCCTCCCAGCAACACACCACCCATCTGCGTGCTCCCTCCCGGACCGACATGCTTTCCAAATCTCTGCAATCTCTGCGGAGCAGTTCCAGGATAGCTGTGCAACAGCCTAGGTGCCCATTTCGACAATTCAAACTCAGTGCCTACAGTTTTCCACTCTGCCTTCACAGCCACGTCTAATCTCGGGGGATGTGGCCACTGCTACTGTGCGTGTGACCTCCTGCAGGGGAGGGTAGCACAGTGAGGTCAGTGTAAACCATCACAATCAAGCCCTACAAATCCATCCATCAGGCATGGCCAGGAGCCAAAACCCAAGCGAGACTTTTCAGTCTCCCAGTCAGAACAAGAGCAACCAAAACAGGAACCAAGAAACAGACCGCCTCCCAGTCACAACTGAAAAAAAATCAACACACAGACATCTGTTCCATTCATAAACCTAAAAGTGGCCAGAAATCATTCCACTCACAAATTCTGAGTGAACGAGGAAGGGACATATTCACTATGTTAAGTGAAAACTGCAGGAATCATACTTGAGTCTCCATACATGAAACTTCGTGAGCTGTGTACAGTGAGCTGTGTACAGTGAGCTGTGTACACTTCACATCTCACTTGAGTAAGTGAAACTGAACTGAAAAAGCATTTGAAGTGGGGAGAGAGGAAAAATTTGCTATCTTAAGAAATCAATCTTGTACCTCCTTGGGTGAAGAAAGAACCTGGAAGCAACTACCCCTTATTCTAAGACACTCAAACACATAATGAAATCTGAGCATAGGTTGGTATCAAGGGAAACCTTGCCCTCTGTGCATCCGGGTAAACAGCTACGCCACAGGCCACCGGTCCCGGGTTGGGCTACATGTGTCTGAGCAGGTCCCGAGCGCAAGCTGCTCTCTCCAAGCAGAGAGGACAGCACGTACCATCATCGCTGACACAATCCTGCAACACGAGAGGGTGGTGGCGGGGGAGCTTGCTGAGGGGCTGGCGACGGCCCTTGGACTTCTTATTTTCCTCCAGGGAAAATATGTATTCGTCTGCAACCTGGAAAAGCCACAAGGAAAGAAAATCAAGTTGGTCTGCCCCAACCTGGGGACACAGGAGAAGTCAGTCTTACAATGAATACCAAAGAGTAGACACACAAAGAATATGAAAACAGAGAAAACACTTGTCGTACATAAAGTCAAAATGGCAGTATAAAGCAAACTAGTTTAACTAGAGCATGTAAAAAATTTAGGGCAAAACCTGTGCCTAGTCAGTGTGGGTCTCACTTTTCTCAGCAGCCCGAACTCAAGGTGCCAAAAGTGAGCCTGCTCTGGCTCTAAAGGAGAGCCAGGCCCCTTCCCTTATGCTCACTGTCCTGAGGCTGAGTCTCAGGGCCAGAGAAGCCCAGCTGTCCTTTCCTTGGACCAGAGGAGAGAAGCATCTGTTACAATGTGCCAGGCAGCTGGACCATCCACATTTCAAAGACTAGAAGACACTAGAAGGGCAAGGAGTAACTGACCCATTAAAGTAAAACAGGCCAACTTCTCCTGATCTATGGTCAAGACCTCCGCTCTAGCTGATACTGTGTGTTCCTTCCTGCCAGGGAAAGAACACCAGCCAAGACCACAGAGCTTATCTAAAACTCTGGCCTATATGCAAAGGGAAAGGTTGATTTAATACTGCATTTACATAACATCAGTGCAAATGTAATCAGGTTTAAGATATACAAGATTGAACCAGTAATACCACATAAAAGTTTCTTTCTAATCAACACAGTCAAAATTTAGTTAAACTGGCATTAGGAGACATGGGGTTAGGAAAACCCATTAAGCGAGGAAATGAGGCCTGGACAAGAGCCACTTTGCAACTCTTACAAAAGCCAGGGCCTCAGAGCTGCAGAAATGCAGCACTGCTGGGCGCCTCAGAGAACTGACACCAAGAGGCCCGCAGGTTTGGCCTACAGTGCGCAGGAGGTCAGAACTGAAGGACCACACTTACAATGTCAAGGAAAAGCAAATTCTGAGCAGCCCACACCGAGAGGCATACAGCTTTAGGTTTGCTCCTCCAAACCTAAGTCCCAGTGTCCATTTGCTCATTTATTCAACAAAAGTGTGCGAGACTCCCAAGCGCCAGGGCATGCCCAGGAAAGCAAGAACGTAGGGAGGAAAGGACCTCCAGAATGTGGTCCCTGCTTCCCTGGGAGGGATGCCAACAGTAGTGTGGAGGAATACGCCGGAGGGCGAAGTGATCAGCAATCTTTTATTAATGATAAAGAAAGAAGACTTAGATGATCAAATTTCTAACCAGATCTGAGAACTACACTGACAGTCTTTCTTCTAAAGTACAACAAAAGAAGGCGCCCTTGAAACCTGCCAGTACAGTGGACTCTAGGCCTCACCTCCATTCCAACCAGAACAGCCCTATTTCAGCTTCGTACTTCTTAAACAAGCAAGACTACAATGGGCACTCTGAACAGTTTCTTGAATAAGTTTATGGTGGGGGTAAGACAGGGGCACTATTATTACGATACATGTAATAAATAAAAAGTGACACTAGGTTAAGTCCAACTTAAACAAACCTATGTAAAATAAATCTTGTTTAGACAACTGGAAATTTGATTATGGGCGAGCTATTAAATTACACTACGGCATTTCTGATAAATAATGGCATAGCAATTATCGAACAAAAGACCCATTTTTTAGACGTACACACTGAAGCTGGTCAGAAACAGCATGATGTCTGGGATTTGCCTTAAAATATTTCAGCAAATGAAGGGATCATGGTTAGTGAAATAAGCAGAAAGAAAAAGAAAAATACCAGATGGTTTCACTCATAGTCAGATGATAAAGTACCAGGGGGAAAAAAATTAATAATAATGAACAACTATACACCAAAGACATTTTACATGGGTAGAGTTGGGAATGGGATCAAAAACAGGGGGGGGCAGCGCATGGGACTATGGTGACTGCACATGGTGAACTGGAAGTCCACAGGGATTACAACTGAGATGAAAAAGGCATAAAATGATGTAAAAATAAACTATTATAAAAAAATATTTCAGCAAATGAAACAGGACAGAGGAAACAAGTGTGGCAAGATCTCTCCAACTTAGACCTAGGTGTTGAGCAGTTGTGGGCTCACTGAATCATCCCATCTGCATCTGTTTGCATTTTTAAAAAATGAATTATGGAAATCTTGTCTCTCCAAATACACATGGGCAACCTTCCAAGGCTCCCTGCACCTCTAAAATCAGACTGCTCCATAGAGCAGGCAGCCCAACTTGATCCAACTTCATAAACGCTCTTCTCACACCTCCCCACACCCATATGCCTGAGACACACGAGTCCAATGCAGAAGCCCCCAGCAGTTTCCACTCGGCACAGCACCAGCACCCCTGAGAATGCATGCCAAGATTCCTGTTCTGATTTCATTCTGTCTAACCTGGCACGCTCCTGCTAACTCAGGCCAGCTGAATGCCTCCTTCCCTGCACTTTCCCCTAACGCCTCGCCCCAGTCCCAGGCTGAGTGCTAGCTCTATACCACTCGTGCTGCAACACTTACCACTAGGCACTAAATTGTTTTCTCACATGTGTCTACTCTTCTTGGCTACAAACTCCTTGAAGACACAGACCAGGCCCAGAGTAGCAATGCCATAAACAAAGCAAAGAAGAAGAGCAGTCAAGATATTTTTAGTCAATCTGAAGTGTTCCAAGATTCAAGTGTGTGGTCCAGCCCCTATCAAAAACAGCAAGCTTATCAAAAACACATCTACCTTATGATCCAGCAATTCCACTGTTAGGTATCCACCCAAAAGAAGCAGAACAGGACCTCCCTGGTGGCACAAGGGGTTAAGTCTCAGCACTGGGACGCAAACCTCTGTCTCACTCTCTGCTCCCTGGGCAATGTACTTCAGTAGGGCTGCTCCCCACTCTGTCTCTGGGGAATCCTTTTATGCCCCCCCACCCGACCCCCCCCCCACACACACACCTCTGGCCTACTCCCCAGCTCTCATAGGCCTAAGTAAAACCATTTTAAAAAATGCAAAACAGTAATTTGTAAGGGCTATATGGTCATTGCAGACTACTTACAACAGCCAAGCCATTGAAATGACCTAAGTGCCCACCAATAAGACAAGCAGATTAATAAGCTATGGTATGTATAACCAATGAATTACTGAGCTACTAAAAACAAAAATCCTGCCATTTGCAGCAACGTGGATGGAACTGGAGGGGATTATGCTGCGCAAAACAAGCCTAAAGGAGAAAACAAATACCAGCTGTTTCACTATATATGTAATAGAGAGAAATAAAACAAAGGAACAATAAACCTAAACCAAAACAAACCCTAGAAATCTTGACTGTAGAACTGAAGCTACAAGAGGGAGGGTGGCAGATGGGAGAGAGGGAGCGTGGGGCAGGGTTCAATGCGCTATGATGGAGGATTATGGGTCCTTCACTGGTAGACTCAGGGGTGTGACGTACACCTCAAGAGCTATGAACCTATACCCCAAAATTACATATGATGTTGTAGACCACTGGTTCTTCAATAAAAATAAATAAACCAATAAAAAAAGTTAAATAAATAAACCAATAGACATCAATGCCGCAGGTGGTGGGGGAGGGCCGGCTGGCAATGGAGAAGATAACACCATCACTACAGGAGACAATCCTATGGGGGCGGGGGGAGGGAGGCACTCATGGTTTCCACCAGAGATCTATGCTGAAGAATGCCCCCTTCTCTGCTTATGCCCACCTGACAGGAATCCTGGATCACCTCCATCGCCTGATGTGAATGAGGTGCACTCAGCTAGTTTCGGCCTCTCACCGAGAACATTCTGCTCTGCATCCACACCACATGGAAGGGAGCGGGGAAGCTCCGCCCCGTAGGCAGACATGGTCTCAGCCTGTCCCCAGGTAGAGAGCCCTTTACAAGTCATTTTCCTCTAATCACTTAACTGTTAACAAAGCAACATTTCGAGGTTCATAGGCCTGACTCTTGTTTCTTTTAACAGGCTGCTCATTTGGGAGAAAGAGATGGGTACCTTCACCCTTCCCACAAAAGAAACTTGACTCTGCAAGGTTAACTCAGCAGTAGTATGCAGGCTACACAATGCACATGCACTATTTAGTGTCAGTAAGGCCTTTTAACGGCTGGCTCTGGCTGTGGCTGCAAGTGCATCAGGGCAGCGCAGGGCAGTGTGAGCCGAGGGTGTCAGCAGGGTGAAGAGAGGCACCAGGCTTCATGAAAACAGAAGGGCTCAGATGCAGCAACTGGGGGTAAAAAAGGGACCCAGCTGTCAGGGACGCAGGCAGCAACCAGAGGGAAGGGGGAGGAGACCCGGTGGGTCAGCACACAGAGCTGCTCCCGCCACAAACGGGACAGCCACCCAGAAGAGGACCTGGGGAAACAGGATGGTGTGTGGTATTAAAGACAGGAGAACACCCCAAACGCAGTAGATGAATCTGAACACAGATGAAGGGTTGTTGCTGTGGTCAAGGGAAAAATAAAGCAAGTGCCAAGTGTCACTAATACAGGCACGCAATGCACACAGAGGCTCGTGATATTCTATCCACGTATCTGTAGAAATCTTCTGTGACACTTTTATACCATCAATTTTAAAGATGAAGATAAGAGATTGAGAAATCAAGGAGACCTGCCAGGATTCTACTACTCCCCACCCAACCTGACTCCCCACCTCTGCCCCCCTCCTGCTACCCCTAAAACCATAAGCTGGGAAGTCGGAGCAAATCACTTGGTGAGCAGGAGTCTAGCTGCAGCCAAATCAGCTCTGCTGCATTCACTCAGGCCCGCGAGAACCTTCCCACACAAAGCAAAGCAAACACAGCTTTTGGTGAGAGCATGGGTTCCAGGAAGTATATAGACAAACATGTTCACACTTACAGCTTTGGGAAATTGCCCTGGTCTCCAAAAGGGTGCGTTCTCTGGGACAGAATGACAGGAGAAGGGGAGTGGTGTGCTAACAGGTCTCCACAGGACAGCCAAGACTTAGAAGAAAGCCCTTCAACTTTAGGGTAAGAGACCACTAACTCCTCATACAGGCTGCCACTTCACCACGCTAACCCCGGTCTCCAAGGCAAGGAGGCTCAAGGACATATCCAACTGTCACTGTGGCAGCAATACAATCCTCAAGATCAACAGCCACCCAGGGAAAAAGGAACTCCCAGCGAAGAGCAAGCTGGGAGAGTCAGGCCACCTAATTTTCTGCCTGACAGTGACTGCAGACGGAAGGTCTCCAGTCTGAAGGTCTGCCCTGCCACCACACTGCAGGGTAGCCCCGCAGACCCACTCTCCTCCACAAAAACCCTTCCAGGGCACTCCCACCCCCGCCACTGCCCAGGGTCATACCTCCGCCAGCACCTGCTCGCTAATGCTCCTAGGGGCACTGCCCTTCTTCCTTGGGCACGGCTCTTCCACGGTCACCTTGCTGTCCCCTTTGGCATAGCTGTGCACAGTGAGAACACCCGTCTGCCCTTGGGCTCGGCACGACAGAGGATCACTGGTTTCTGAGTCAGAGGAAACAGAATCCCGTGAAGAACCAGAGCCCAGGCTAGAAGATGATTTCTTTTTGGAGTCTGGAAAGACGAGGCGTCCCCCTACAGAAGGATTCACAGAAAGATCCAAGGCAGCTGCTTCCTGTTCCTCCTCCTCCTCTTCATCCTCCTCTTCCAGTTTGACGTTTTTAAGCTCCTCAAATTTGACTTCACTGGAGTCAGAATAATCTGAAACACACGTGTACATTAGACAGAGCCAGCTTGCTCCTGCACAGCTGGTTTTGGGGAAGGGAGGGTGGTGATGTGCTGAGAACACGGGCATGGCTGTGAACACCAGCTCGATCATTTACAGGGTGTCTCTGTGAGCTGGGCTAACTGCTGAGCCTCTCTGGGCCTCTAGTCTCATCCTCTGGGATTCGAGGTCACTACCACCCGTTTCCAGGCCCTTAACATTCTTATGTGTAAGACATTTGTACAGGCACATAGTGGACACTCAAGTAGCAGCTGCCACTTCCTCAGAAGTCCCCTGCAGGAAATCAAGGCCTGAGCTAAGTACTCGGCTCCCGCAATCTGCTAAAAGGGCAGCCAGTGCCACAGCCCAGATCCAGTGCTATCAGAACACACACCAAGGCCAGACCTGGGAGCAATGTAAGACCCTCCCCAGCAAAGGTACCCTCGACCACCACCCCAATGACTGCTCCTCTACAAGGTCTGCTATACATCCCTCCTGGACACATCACAGGACCTTAGGCCTCGGACAGCTGACTCGGAAGCCGACTGCAGTTCCGATGCCCGCTCACGCCTATTCACTAGACTCCACAGTGTCTCCTCTCCCTCCCACCCCAATATCCACATATTTGGAAATGACTACCAGGCCCCCACAAAGCTCACGCTGTAGCCCACCTCCATGCCTCAGCCTCTGCTCCTCTCAGGGTGCCCCTTCTATGTTCTTCTACTCTGTCTAGGAAACCTACTGATTTGGGATGTTAGTTCATCTTCTCTTCAACAGAAACTTCCGTGATGATTTCCATGACCCTCACCAGGCAGAGGGAAGGGGCCTTTCCTCCACACTACTCACCTACTGTGTGCGCTCCCAACCAAAATTCTGCCCCCAAAGTAACTACACTCCCTTTTCTATCTACCTGGGACCCTGCACTTAATGTGGCATCTAACAAAACAGACATTAGCCAGAGTTGTAAAAAAAACAGCAATCTACTAACCTGGGAAAGCGAGACCATCCTCGACCTGCCGCACAGAGCTATGGGTGGGCCTCACGGGCGCAAGGGCAGCCTGGCACTCGGTCATGTCGTACTGTCCAGAACTCAGCTCCTCCTTGGGGAAGAGCTCGCTCTGACTCACCTCCTGTGGTATTTCGAGACAAACTCGGTGCCTCTTTGTCCCTATACGGTGCTTGGCTAGGCTGCAAGGAGGGGGGCAAACTTTGTAAAAGCTGTGTAGACATCCCACTTATACAAACACACATTCACAGCCACAGCGACCCAAAAGGAATGGCCAGAGCCTGTCAGGCTGCCTCACACTCGGAGCTGCCTCCCAACTGTGGGCTCTAAGACTGTGCACTTCTTTTTGACCTCATCCCATCAAACAGAAAATATGGGTACCATTCCCACCTCACAGACCGGATGTGAAGCTTAATTAAAGGTATGCAGGGGTGCTTCAGAGTACCACCCGTAAGTGTTCCTCCTTTCTTCCCAGCATGGCCCAGGTCAAACTCTCCTCTCCTCAGGACAGATCCTAGGGCTCCAGCACCAAGGACACTGGCTGACTTCAATGGCACCACCCCTGTCCTGGTGAGTCTCCCATGATGGCATTTATGCAAGCTGCACCTCAGCAAACTACAGGCTTGTCACCAGCACTGCCATTTCTAGACAACAGCCATGAAGAAGGACCTGCACAGCCACACTCAGATATCCTGGAGCCCTCACGGGGAAGGAAACTCCCTCAGCTAAGGCTCAAGCACCTCACTCAGAAATAGTGTTTTTTTTTTTTTTGGGGGGGGGGCTCTTTCTGGTAGCACATCCACCACAGCAAGAGTTCTGATCCTAGCCAGGGAGATGACATGGCACAGCCGACCTCTCCTGTCTTGCCCACTGCTCCCCTTAGTAGTATTCAGTCAGTCTACCCATTCTGTTCCCAACTCTCTCTGGTGAAGCCTCTCACCCCCACCCCCACACCTCAGTTCTTGTATGTACAAATAAACAAATCTTTTTAAAAAAAAAAAAAAAAAAGGAAAGAAAACAGCCTCGGGAGGTTGTGGGAACTGCCCAAGATTTCCCTCCCTCAAAGAGCTGGATCCAGCGGCTGCAGGGTTACCTCCTCTTCAGGTCGCCCTCCTCGCCCTCCTCAACCCCTTCCATGTCCTCCTCTGCACACTCATTTGTGGCTCTCAGCGGTCTTTCACTCTCCTTAAGAAACTCGGCAGCTTCTGGCGTGGGGAGAGTATGGTCGATAACTGTGATGTCCTTCCCAGCTTTCCAGAGTTTGTACCTTTCTGGCTGAAACTTCCTCACAAACACATCCATGGAGATCTTCACCATGTCCTTCCTACAGGAGCACTATCAAAGAAACCAGAGGCCTCTGGGTGTGCAGAGCCCAAGGGCCACGTCCCTCTCACCCCACAGTCCCTCCTCCTCCCAGGTGGACTGACACACAGTGGTATGATGCCGGACTGCCTAGGTTGACAGAATGGGCACGCACTGTCCTTGCAGCGCCTTCAAATACAGAGGAAAGCAGGGCAAAGGCACAGAGAATGCACAGCACTGGGGTGAGTCCAGCCAGCGCTCTTGGGTACCTGAGCTTAGATCCCACACTGGCCAAGGCCCCCTTTCCCTGTGACATCAAGCCTAGCAGGGGTCATACAGTGAGGCTACCATGGGTCAAAGTGCTATTGCTACCTGCTAAGAATTACTCAACAGAAAAACTCCAGAGCGGCCAAAGAGATATTTCAGTGTGTGCGTGTGGTTTCAACACCCAAGGGTCTGGACTCCTCCCATTGCCAAACAAGGTTTTGAAAATTCCTATGAATACAAAATGTCAGGCCTTTTGCATCTTCCCAGCCACCTTGGTTCTGAACTCCAGCAGTGCACAGAACTCTTCTAACCACCAGCTGGTACATCTAAAGAGAATTTTGCTCCACCAGACATTTCTAGCCACAGTACCACAAAAAGAAATCAAGCAGACTTACCAGCACAGCTTGTTTGCCATATTCAATCCACCTCCGAGTAGCAAAATTAGTGGACTCCGCACAGTTGAAGCCATGGTTAAAGCCAGCATGGTAACCGTAAGGGAAGGTAATCATGAATTCTCCGGCCTCTTGGGTCACCTGAACAAGAGCAGACCTGGAATGGCTGTACCACATGGCAGAACACTCCAGAACCAGGCTGAGTGCCAGTGCCATGCAAGACACTTGAGTACCAGGGACAAGTCACAAACCACAGGGTCGTGGTGTCTCCTACAAAATACAAAGCCTGGTGCATCAGACACCAAGACTACAAGGCACCATTCCTGCAATTTAACACTGCTGGTGGGATTTGACTATTCTGACATCAGGAAGACAGAGCAGCACCTTTAATTCCCTTGGAGCAAAGAGTCACAAACTACATAGCTAGCTTAGGCCCACACCAGTACGGGGTGACCAAAGGACAGTGTCCACATAAGCAACACCAGCTTACCTTGTCAAAGGGAATTCCATATTTCTTCAACATTAAAGGGGAAATTAAAGTCATTTTATGGCGGAGAAAAGCTTCACAGCTTTGAGCACTTCCAGGGAAAAAGCCTGTTTAATTGAGAATGGGCATGAATTAGCACACTGTTCTATACCAGCTCTGTGTCCTGGAGGGGCTTCACACCTGTGCATCTCATCTGGCATTGGGGAAAGTGGATTCTCCAACCCGGCCTCTATAGATCCCACCAGCTTCAGGCCAATTCTAAGACCCTATAGTGAGCCTCTGGTTTTGCTCACAGTTGGGTGTTCCAAGGAGAGTCAAATGATGTTGGAGGAACTGAGTTCACCCAAGTTATCTCTGTTCTTATAAAGAATTCTAAAACTGTATCGCCCCTTTCTCTATTCGCCTGTAACTTCAATCTTTTTTTAGTAAAACATCCACAAACCACAAGCCCTCCTGAGGAACACATCTTTGAAAATCCACTTTAAGAAATCCAAAGCAAGGCCTTCCCTGGTGGTACAACAGTTAAAGCTGTTAAAGTCCAGCACTGTGAAGCTCTCCACAGCTGCTTCAGCTAGAGTTCAATGCCTGGCCAAGAAGGTGACTCACATGTCTCAGCAGACATTTCTTGTCTTGCCCACTGCTCCCCTCAGCAGTGTATTTCGATCAATCTGCCTGTCCTGTTCCCCACTCTGTCCCTGGTGAATCCTCTCACCGTCCCTGTACCTCTGGCATGTACCCCAGTACTATATGCATAAATAAATCAATCTTTAAAAAAGAAAAATTCAAAGCATTAGGGGGACTCCCTGGTGGCAAAGGGGTTAAGTCTTACCACTATCACCACTCAATCTCCAGCAAGGGAGTGACCCATATGGTACAACAGACCTCTCCTGTCTCACCCATGGCTCCCTCAGCAATGATTTCAGTAGATCCACCTGTTCTGCTCTGATCCACTTTTTTTCTGGTCAATCCTCTCAAAGACCCATGCCTCCCTTCTTCCCCCCAACACACCCCTCTGACCTACACCCTAATGCATCTATGCAAAAAAAAAAAAAAAAAATTTTTTTAATACAAATTATTAAATTTTTTCTTTAACATTTGGGTTTTTAAAGAACCAGACCCGATATGAATGGTATACTATCCCTAGTGAAATAAACCTATGCTTGATAAAACAGAAGCAAAGACAATCTGAGAAGGAATTACTGTGTCTCATCCCTGGGGAAGAGGCTGATTTTAGTGGCGCTGCAAGTCAACTAATCCGCAATCTGGCTCACCACCCCCTTGCAGGCCTGCAAGCACACCTGAGAATGGGCATTTCAGAGCAATCAGCACATCACAGGAGGGCCTGGCTGGGCACCAGGAGACACAGTACCTTTGGCAAGGCGCTCCAACCGCTTCCCGTGCTCAGGGGGAACAGAGTACCTGCAATCACATAAGAGTGTTGGACGCTGAGCAGAGGGCAGCAACGGGAGCTGAGACACAGCTCCAAGGATCAGGGTTTTCAACTTCCCAACCACAAAATGTAGAAAGACATCTGGAGAAATAAAAAATTGAGCTGTTTGGACAGAGGAGTGGGGAGACCACAGAGAAGTAGGGTTGAATTTATATCTTTTACCTTCACTCACAAACTACATCTTTTCTAATATTTACCAAGAGCAAGGATTTATGGTAGGTACTCAATGTTGTACACCTTTACAGTGTTGCTCATGCAACAAATTAATAATTTAAAAAAAGAGAGATGGTACTAACAGCTCCTGGTAGAGCCCGAGAGGCCTAACTGGGATAGAATGAAGAATGGAAAGAGGGTGAAAGAGCATGAGATACTCAGAGTTGGCCCCAGCTGCTGCTAAGCCTTCATCTCCAGAACAGCTACAGTGACTACCTAATAATTACTGACTCCTCTACCCATAGGGTATTTGAAGGCCATAGAAACTGCTTTTCATAAGAAAAAAGGGGGGGGGGAGTGAGGGGAGAGTAAAACTATTTCTAACTGTTAAAACTTTATAATCCCAAAGTGACAGCAAGGCAATTTGAACCTTTACAGAAGATCCCAAAGATTTTTCCATTGTAACAAAAAACTTCCCATCCCAAATACTCATTATGAAACAAAACAGGAGTTGACGAAAATGTTTGTCACCTAAAGGACTTTGGATTCCACCAGGCAACCTTGCACAGAAGTCTCTGGAGGTCCCACTTCACCTGAAGAGTATGTAATAACTAAGAGAACCTTCTCTCGACATGAATATGGAAATCTAATTTCAGAGAACTTAAAACATGGTGAAGACAAAAAAGCTACATTTATAGATTCTAGAAGTCTAGCCATCTAAGGAAGGAAATGGGACAGTAGTTAAGGGGTCATTACAGGCTTAAAAAGGTTTTCTTTTACACCCATCCCCAACCCCCAAGATTAGAAATCAGAAAACATTTGAAAGGAAAACCCATGAGGAGAAGACATGGCTGGAGGTGCTAGAAAAGGAAATGAAACAGATCCAGTATCCATCCACCTGTTCCCAGGATCCAACCCTCAGTGCACCTCCCACCATGCAGTTGTGCGAGACACCAGAAACACGAAGACTGCTAGCCGTTAGGCGCAGTGCTGTCCTCGTATGCACGGTCCCAACCACCCCTCTAGCTCCATCTTCCTGTCTGCTAGGTCTAAGTCTAGTTGCACCTTCCAGCGACTGGCCCCACCCCTCAAGTGTCCTGCTCACATGGGCTGACTGAACTCACTATTCCCTGTCAGAGCTGTGCTCACCCTGGCTAATTATTTCTTCCCCCTCTCATCTGCCCAGCATCCTTTCTGGGTGAGAGGAGGTGCCTCACATCTTGCTCACTGCTGTTGCTCAAAGCATGGTCACTAAAATGCTCAGACCTAGACATGCACCGACGCATGGAGAGAAGAGACAACAAATCTTGTCTCTCCAAATGTCAACAGGAGATGACAACAGCCTGCAGAGCAGGAAGCTTATGCCAAGTAGCCTTGCATCCCATCTTGGATTAAGCACACACTGCTGCTCACCAAGTATTTTTTCCATGAGGAAAAGAAAGCTTTCTATCATCTGAAGAAGTGACTCCAGTCTTGGAAGTCTGCCTCTAAGAAATGCCTCAGGCCTGTTCAGAAAAAGAAATTAGAAAGCGGTAGGGTAGCCTGGAACAGCCTCCGAGACTCAGTAACTCAGCCAAACGCCTGCTTTACGCCCAGTGGTGTTCAGTGCCCTGCTCTTCAAAGTCTTGCTACTCAAGGGTGGTCTGATCGCCAGAGCTCCAACACCTCTCATCACTTGGAATTCCACTAACAATCTAAAATGCCAGTCCCACCCCAAGCCTACTGAACCAGAACCCACATTTGAACAAGGACCCAAGACAGCTCCAAGCACATTAGAGTTTAGGAGCCCCAGTGCCAACTGCAGGCTGACTTTACCAGGACTTTGGTTCTCCAAAGTGCAGATAATTGATGCTGTACAGGTCCATGTCTTCAGTGTGCCAGGCAAAGGACGTCTTCCACATGCCGAAGTACAGGTAGGGGGTGTTGACACCCTCAATGGTGATCCCACTCTCCTTTTCCACCAAGTCCAGGATTGTTTTCAGTCGGCCAATATTCCACTCATCAACATGCTGCAAAGAAAAGTGGGCAGCTGAGGCAAATTACACTGACTATATAAACCAAGGCTCAACCTACAGATCAGAGCAGGTCACAGGTGAACTATCACCTCAAAACATGGAGGTGGAATAACGTCAAAATTTCTAGACACGGAGACCACAGTTTGCCTCACTTCACATAGCCACCCTCAACGCAGATGCCATTAGCCTGGGGTGGACTCGAGGAGGGCAAAACCAGTGAGTTAGTGGGCACCAGCATGTGGACAACCACCAGGAAGAGAACTGCCACCGGCTCCAGACCCCAGAAGGAAGCTAAAGAAAGTTAGGTCCAAACAGAAAGAGTTCTTACACTACAAAAAACACAACACTACTCAGTCATAAGGCAAGAGAATGTCATTTAGAGTAAAACAGGAGGACATTGAGGGACTTATATGTAGCAAAGCAAGTCAGAATGACAAAGAAAAACAGAACATTTATGTTCTAGATAATCTATTTTCCTAAGTTTTAAAATACCTATAAAAACCAGCAGGCCCCTCCCTGATGGCACAGCAGGTTAAAGTGCAGTACTGCAAGCTGGTCATAGCCGCTTTGGTGGAGTTCAATCCCCAGCTGGCCCTGGAGGTGACCCAAATGGTGTGGCAGACCTTTCCTGTTCCGCCCATTGCTCCCCTCAGCAGTGTACTTTGTTGATCTGCCTGTTCTGTTCCCCACTCTGTCTCTGGTGAATCCTCTCACTGCCCTTGCACCTCTGGCCTGTACCCCAGTTCTGTATGCACCTCTGGCCTGTACCCCAGTTCTGTATGCATAAGTAAATAAATCTTTAAAAAAAAAAAAAAAGCAGATACTAATGGAGTGAAGTTTCTGAGGTTAAGGGGGAGGGTGGCAAGAGTCAAACGGGGATAGTAGACAGCGGGATGGGAACAACGGAAAATACATGGGTGTTAACTGCAGTAAGCTCTGACTTTGAGCTCCAATCACCACTGTGTCTTCAGTAGAACGTCTACAGTGTGACACAAGGTGTCCTCCTGAGTTGTCATGATCAGCCGGAAGCCCATCTCCTGTGTCCCAGGTTTCTATGCCCTGCTTCTGTACATCCCTACCCCAGACCATAATTACCTTCCAGCCATTAATATCTATACGATTCACTTCTTATTATGCAGAAAAACTGTCATCCACAAACCTAGAGCCCACTTTTTAAAGTTCTTACTTTCAGTAACATACAAAAACATTGAAACTGAGTGTTAAGTCCTAAAATGCCCTACAGATTTTTTAAACATCCAAAATGGTCCCAAATATTCGTTTTTTCTAACATATCTAAAACAGTTCTTCATGCCAAGAACTCCATCCCAAGCCGATGCAATCTGTTCAAACAGCTTTTATTACAGAATCTACTTTGAGGGCTCTGAAAATCTAAATACATTTCTCTTCTTAAATATACATGCCCCTTTCATTAGATTAGTCAGTGATCTTTTTTCTGCAGAAACCACACTGCCTCTCCCCCAACATTTCATTTACTGTGATCCCACCCTTTCAAGAACTCATCAGCTACCACCCACAGACTATTCTAACAGTCCTTGCAAAGAGCACCATATCATTCAATTTACATGTGGAGTGGGAGAAATAAAATTCAGTCACATGCAAAAAAACCCACAATAAGTGAGCAGAGCACATCGAGTGGTAGAGCAGTCCTTTGTTCATCCACCCATTCAGCAAGCAGTTTTTAGGTGCCTACTAAGTGCTGGGCAGATAAAAATTGCATCTCATTACAAAACCACAAAAACACTGGCCAGAGTTTCCCATCTCACCTTCTCATAAAGAGTGCCATTCACATCTGCACCATAAATTGGAGGATTAAATGTGAGGTTCTTCCAATATTTCCGCTCAAGTTCTTCAAACTCACTGTAGCGTGGGGTACAGTACCTTTTAAAAGTAAAAACAAGTGTTAAATCACTTAGAAGAGACTAAATTAGTTGGGCATTATGAACGGCAGAAGGCAAAATCCCCAGTTCTCAGGAATAGCAGGATATTTGAAATGAGTAGAATGTAAATTAACCTAGGCTTTCAAGGCTGAAATCACTCCAACTCACCCAGTATCACCTAGGTGAGCTCTGAGCCAGAGGAAGGCAATCCACATGCAAATATAAAGCCATCTTTCTTAACAGGCCTGGGATCTTTCAAGACTACAAAAACTAGATCCTCCTACTGACAGAAGGGCCTAGACTTCCAGGAAGAAAATAGGCTTAGAAACTAGTGAGAACCAACAACTACAATTCCTTCTAAATCCACAGACAACCAAAGACAGTGAAGCCCTCGGGAAGCACCCCTTTCTGGCTCCAGTGTAAGGAAAGTGGGTCCAAGAGGGCTCGTGTATGTCACTGCCAGACTCCCAACAGTGACCTACACTCAACAATAATGTGTAACAACAGAATGTTTAAGTTTAATGAGTGTCAAACTTTAGCTAAATATACATTTCACACTTGTGCAAGCACACACGTTTGTAACTATTTGTCTATGTCTATCCCCGCTAACAAAGTCTTAAAATATGTATCCTCGGCCTTCCCTGGTAGGTAGCACAGGTTAAAGCACAGCACTATGAAGCTATCCACAGCATGAGTTCGACCCCCAGTCAGGGAGCTGACCCACATGGCACAGCAGACCGCTCCTGTCTCACCCACTGCTCCCTCCGCAGTTATTTCAATAGATCCCCCTGTTCTACTTCCTACTTTGTCTCTGGGGAATCCTCTTCACCCCCAGCACCTCTGGCCTGTACCCCACTTCTTATATGCATAAATAAATCTTTATAAAAAAAATCTATTGTCTTTAGCTTAGTAATACATACTGACAGCTATTCCAAAAATAATCTTCTAAAAATTTCAAACGATTTAAAAATTATGATGCAACAATTACATAGTATATAAAACTACTATATTTGAAAATATATACTAAGTAGAAAAACTAATACACACTAACTCAAATACCAAAAAAATATTATGAATACAAGGGTGTAAGATCAAAATGAAAGTGTGTGCAGAAAATAGGGTAAAACACACTCTAAATACTGCCTTACATTTTAATGTCAATCTAACAAAGTTTAGGATCCTAAGTTCCCTTTGAACTATAAATAATTCTTTGACTACTAACTTATCTGCTTTATAAACAGATTTTTTCTTTCTGAGTTTTTTTTTTTTAAAGGTTTATTTATTTATTCATACAGAACTGGGGTACAGGCCAGAGATGCGGAGGGTGAGAGGATTCACTAGGGACAGAGTGGAGAGCAGAACAGGCAGATCAACAAAGTACACTGCTGAGGGGAGCAGCAGGCGGGTCAGGAGGGGTCTGCCACGCCATGTGGTCACCTCCAGGGCAGGTGGGGATCGAACTCATGCGGAGGTGGCTTAAGCTTCTTAGTGCTGTGCTTTAACCCGCTGTGCCACCAGGGAGGGCCCTTCTGGGTTTTCTTAAAGTTGACTGACCAGACATACAGAAATCAAAGGTAAGACTGACGTATTTTGCATGAAGGACAAAAGTAGAGGACTGGTTAATTTAAGAGGAAAAGAGGTCTCCTGAAAGAAGAGAAGGCCTAGCACTTGCTGACAAGAGCTCACACACGGGAACCCCAGGTGAAGCAGAAAGCAGGGGTGGTAGGCCCAGAGCGCAACTAGAAATCAGACCTGAAGGATGACACAGCCTTTCAGCCAGAGCATCTCACACTCAACATTCCTTCTACGAAGCCTCTCGCTAAACAGCAGGTGGCCAGCAATATAAGATACTTTTAGGGTCTCTCTGGTGGCACAAGGGGTTAAGTATCAGTACTGCGATGCTATCTGCGGCTACTACAGCACAAGGTTGATCCTGGCCAGGGAGGTGACCCACATGGCACAACTGACCTTTCTAATCTCCCCAACTGCTCCCCTCAGCACATATTTCAGCAGATCTGTCTGTTCTGCTTGGTGAATCCTCTCACCCCACCCCATTCTCCCCGCCAACCTCTGGCCTGTACCCTAATTCTTATATGCATAAGTAAATCTCTTTAAAAAAAAAAAAGAAAAGACACTTTTAAAGAGTAAAAGTAGTTGATAAAACTAGATGACCAAAGGCCTACCTGGTGGCACAGGAGTTAGATACACAGCACTATCAAGCTAGAGTCAGCCACTGCTGCACCAGTTCAATCTCACGCCAGCATGGCACAGCAGACATCTCTTGTCTCGCCCATGCTCCCCTCAGCAATGTATTTCAGTCGATCTGCCTGTCTGTTCCCCACTCTGTTCCTGGTAAATTCTTTTTTTTTTAAAGATTTGTTGATTTATGCATACAAGAACTGGGGTACAGGCCTGAGGTGGGGGGTTGAGAGGATTCACCAGACAGAGTGAGAAGTACAACAGGCAGATGGACTGAAGTACAATTCCGAGGAGAGCAGCAGATGGGTTAACAGAAGTCTGCTGCACCATGTGGGCCACCTCCTTGGTCAGGGATCAAACTCATGCCTCACAGCTTCAAAGTGCTACACTTTAATTTACTGCACCACCAGGAAGAACCCATAAATGGACAAATCTTTTAAAAAAAAAAGGGGGTGGGGGGGACGGGAGGAAAAATAAGGAGTCCCTCATGGATATGTAAAATAAAGGAGGATCGTGGGAAGGCAGAAGATCTAAGAAAGAGGATTGAGAAGGAAGAGTCAGAGTCTAATGTAGGTTACACAAAATTCACTGTCTTGTAAATCTGAGCTAACATGAGAGTTTAACACTAAAACAGCAGGCCTGAACAAAAAAGTTTCTAAAAGAGACAAGAACGTATGTACAGATGATGCTTCCATGCTGACAGAAACAGCAACCCGCATGGTTTCTTATCCACATTTTGTTCATGTTTAAACGGACACAGGAGAGAACAGTTGTGGGCAGAAAGGGGTCTGAGCACTGGTCAAGACCAAAAGACCCATAAAGAAGAGATTAAGTTAAACTACCACAGCACTTTTTGATAAGCAGGTGGTATCAATAAATCCAGTAAAGCTCCTTTTGGATCATCTCCAACTTTCTCCTTCGCAACTTGCCAACTTACAGGAGTCAGAAAATGATTCCATTTTTTGTTAGAAACAACAGGATTACTTTAAGTAAGAGTGTGGACAAGTTCAGACTGTGCCAGTACTGACAGGAGAAATGCTTCTATTAAAGGGCAGAGGGAGACACGGCAGCAACAGAGACGGCTGTGAGGGTGACCTGTTGGGTCCTCGGTGCTGACAAAGGAAGGACAGTGTTTTCACTCACTTATCACTATTAGCTATCTTGCGGAACTCGCGAACGGTCATGGCTTTCTTCTGTATGTTGTACTGAGTAAAGAGGCCAGACTGCCCAGTCACAAGTTGCTGGATGGGGGCAGGAATGACCAAATCATCAATATCATCATATGATGCTCGGGGCTTCCACTCCTTTGGAGGAACAACCTGTAAAGACCACAGAAACAAAGAGATCAGAAATCCGGCCAGCCCCTAAGCGCAACAAAGCCCACTGTTACCCTAACATTGATCCAGTTCTGCCACTAAGCAAATGCCCAGCTGCAAGACCTCTGGTAAGGATTATTTATCCTTAGCCTCATATCTTGTCTGGGTGCCAAGGGAGGCGGCTGAAGCGCTGATTCTCTTTCAGTCTAACAGCAAGTCCACCTGAGAAGCCAAATTACTCAGTGCTAGATTTGACTACAGTGAGAAGTAGGACACCCAAGCACTCAGTGACAGGGAAACACTTAAGGTACCCATCTCTTGACTTTTTATCGCCCTTTTCAAGAATCCAAGCAGCTCCCCCCCACACACCTAAAAGACGTTTGAGAGATAAAAGGCATTAGTTTGCAATACACTCTAATCTCATCACTTGGCTTTTAGTACAGCTCAAGGATGTTAAGTCCTACTGCTGCCTTCAGTCACAAAATCCTGGCCCCTGGGCACCTGGTCCTGGTGCTCCTCACCTTTGCCAGTCCAGCCCGGTGTGCCCCTTGGGATTCAATGTAGGCAATGTAGCGACTGAAGTTCCGGAACTCCTCCATGGTCGGATAAAAGGTCATTATGCGAGCAGTGGGGTTCAAGGTTTCAGATTCAGAAGCCATTTTCCCTCTTTTTGGGGTCCCTTTGGTCAGAGTGGACTCTGAAGAAATACATTAAGAGCACAAGATTACATGACATATAGTTTAAATAAAATGTTCAGGAGGCCTCCCTAAGTGGCACAGGGGTTAAAGACAGTGCTTTCAGGTTACTGCCAGCTACTACACCCAAGTCTGATGCCAGGCTATCCAGAGAAATGACTCTCATATGGCGCAGCTGACCTCTCCTGTCTCTCCCACTGCTCCCCTTGGCAGTATATTTCAGTAGATCTGTCTGTTCGGCTCCCCACTCTGTCTCTGGTGAATTCTCTCACCCCCTGTATCTTTGGTGAATTCTCTCACCTTTGGCCTGTAGCCCAATTCTTGTACACACAAATAAATCGTTAAAAAATAAATAATGGGCCTTCCTTGGTGGCACAATGGATCAGAGCCCAGCACTATGAAGCTATCCACAGCCACTGCAGTAAGAATTCAATACCCAAAGAGGTGACCCACGTGGCATGGCAGACCTCTCCTACCCAGCCAGGTGCTCTCCTCAGCAGTGTATTTCAGTCTGCCTGTTCTGCTCCCCACTCTATCTGGTGAATCCTCTCACCACCCCTGCACTCTACCCCAGTTCCTATATGCATAAATAAATAAATCTTTTTTAAAAATCAAAAAATTAATGCTGAAAATGTCAGTGCTGAGAATAGTAAAAGGGTGTCAACAGAAATTCTGAAGTGTTAAGACCTCACACCTGGAATATACCTCTAGGTGAGCTATTTAAATTAACTAGAAATGCAGATAAAGGATGTCTGAAAGAACCGGATGTATCAACAGTGCTCCTTATTTAAATGGAGACATTGTTTCAGCTAAAAAAGGCAACTAATTATCTGGCCCTATGTCCTCCCTAACAATAGGGTTGCCCTGCCCATTCTTTACCCTAATCTTTCAAGTTGCTCTTTAGTAACACCTTGACAATTGTTTCTCCCCTTATTAAACAAAATATGCTACAACCAGATTTAAAGAGAGATCCCCATCCATAGGGTACAACTTTGAAACAGGATTTTAGAATATTAAAAGGAGCTACTTGACTACCAGATTACAAAGTTTAAGGGTTAAAAAGCACTCTGATACTAGTAAACATTATGTTTGTTTTTCTTTAAAAACCCCAAAGTGTAATGGCTCTGGTATCTAAATTAATATGTAGTTTCAGCAGTTCTAGAAATCAAACTAGAGCAGTAGTTCAGCTGCACTATACCTAGAACTCCAAGGACAAAATTTAAACAAAAAATAAACTGGCGATACAGGACCAACTTTGTAACTACCTGCAGCAGGTAAAATAAAATTGCTTCTTTTTACCTGAAGCCCTCAGCTAAATGAAGACATAACCAATGCCTGGCAACACAACAGACCAGTTAAGCTGAATGACGACCAAACACCACATAATACGGGCCTCTTTAGAAACAAAAGCAGTATGTGCTTCCTCTACTAAACTTCATCATGAAGGTTCAACAGTTCTCCCCAACTCTGGGCCCCAAAGCCATAGCAGTTCTACTCCAAGAGTCCCCTTAAGAGCTGGAGAGTTCAGGAGGGAGGAAATTACTTCCAACAGCCCAGCGATCAATCAAATAACAGTTTGGGATGACAAGGAGCAGAAGGCTGTCTGAGGTGTAAGCAAAGACAAGCCTCACTACCTGCATCTCTTAGGCTTCCATTCCCCCACGTTCATGGCCTGGGGTTTTCATGCACATTGCCAAAACTTTGCATGTTAGATATCTGTTATAACTGCTTTACATATCAGGAATTTTCCCACAGACCTGTAATATACTTCTTCTACTCTCTACGCCGCGTTATATCATAACTACACCCAGAAAAGTCCTTTGCAAGAGCAGATCCAAGTGAAAGAACCTGAAGCTTGTGCAACATTAAGGACCCTCTTTAAAAAAAAAAAAAAAAACACAAAGTATCTCACTTTCGCAAATTTTACAAAAGCACATAATCACCCGATTATAGAATCTGGGCCCATACCAAGGCCTTGATACTCCTGAGTGAGGCTTCATCGCCTCTGGCCTTATTCATCTTTGTATGCCTAGAACCTAGAACAATGCACGACAGAAAACGCACTCAGTAACTATTGACTGATTTCCTCGGCCTCACTTCAATTGTTCATTCCCTTTCTTCAAATGATTCCCTTCCCCCCAACCCATTCCCTGGGGATAGCTCCGGTTCCCCGACACCTTCCTTCCCCCATCCAGCAACAAAGCGAAGTGGCTGAACAGCACCGACTCCGGAGTCAAAACAACTCCGAATACGGATCCGGTCCCTGCCATTTATGAACTGCGTGACCTTGGCTCTGGGAGCAGCGCGAGCCTCAGTTTCTCCACCTGAGAAGTGGGGATCCAACCTCCTTGCCTACCAGGGTTGCTGTAATTAACTCAGATGATGCAAGCGAAACACTAAGCAGTAGGCCGAGTACTAACCCACTCAATAAAGGCAGGTGTCGCTAACAACCACATCCAACTCCCGCCCCCTGCCCTCCCCGGCCACTTCCGCGGCCATCGCTCCAAAGGCAGCGCCCCTTCCCCGCCCCTCCCCCCGCCGCGCCCAAGGTCCCCGAAACTCACCGTTTGGAGGCCAGCCCCTCCCGACCCCGCCGCCTGGGCGAGTGAGGCCCGGCCGCAGGAAGAAGAAAATAAGGCCTAGTGGACCTGGCCCCCCTCCCCGACGTCCATTGGCCAGAAGGAATTGGAAAGGCCCTATCTCGGGAACCATTTCAGAAGCTGCTGCTCCCATTGGCCCAGAGGCATGCCTGTCACTCACCTGAAGGCAACCCCGCCCCTCCCCCACCGGACTCACGGTCATGGCCACAGCAGTAACAAATCTAAAGGATCCCAAAACCCTGTGGCTCTTACCCGAAGCCCACCGCCCCAGCAGGGCTGAGGCCCGACTTCGGCTGTCGCCACCCGCCGACCCTACTGCTTTTCAGGCCGGCGAAGGACAAAACTCCGCCTCCTCTAAGTCTGCCTCTGCGCAGCCGCACAGGGCCGCAGAGGCAGCCAATCCGAGGGCCGCGCTGCTCCCGCCAACAGCCAATGAGCGCGCGCTGCAGTCGCCCCAAAGTCCGAGAGACCCATCTGCTTAGCCTATGAGCGTTGCTCGGGCTGTTGCCAGGAGGAAACGCGGTACCACTCGGGACCGCGGCCACTGAGCATCTCCGCAGACCCGCGGAGCTAGCCAATCACAGGCAGGCGTCTGGCCGCCCAAGGCTAGTTAGTTAGTATTGAGAGAGGAGGAGAGTGCCTAGCGATGGGATGGTCGGGAAGAGGAAGGGTGATGAGATTATTGTGGGATATTTCCAGTGAGGCAGTGGAGCACAGGCTTTTGGAGGTGAGTAGGGCCCTCGCCTGAGGTGGAAGTGCTGAGGGACTCCTCGGGGCATCATCGGAGCGGCCGGAGTGCCTGATGAAGTGACCAACTTGGCCCGCTTTGCCCGGGCTGTCTCTGTTTTTAAAATTGAAAACCACGTGTCCTGGGAACTTGAAGGGAACAGTTCCTGCAGGGGAAGGAGCTCTGTGGGTCATTAGGACAGGTCCTGGAGGGGTGGGTGTCCTTAGGGTCATTAAAAAGCAGTTCCTTCGTGAGCGGGGACTTGGGGGTCATTAGGAGCAGCTCTTGGGGCGGGCGAGAAGAAATCCTGGAAGTCATTAGATGCAAGTCTGGAAGGCTAGGGGGTTCCTAGGACTTATTAGGGGCGGCTCCTGAGAGATGTGGGTCCCCTGAAGGAACTCCCTATTGTCAAGGTGATGAGAATGGAGGTACACAGAAAGCTTCTATAGGTCAAATACAAAGCTAAAATTACCAACACCCAAAGTCATATAAAATGTACAGAATTACCCATAATTGAGTAATGACCTAATGCATTGCAAATAGCTATGGAATCAGCTCTAAATTAAAAACCAGGCATGCCTCTTAGCCTGGGTTTTCCCTCAAAATAGAAAAGATTCTATTTGCCTTGAAAAATTGCTGACACATGTTAGCCAAAGGGGTGGTATTGCATAGAATGGCAGACCAGTGATTTATCCCCTGGGGTGCATGCTTCTTTTAGGATTAAAAAAAGAAACTAGTCTACTTCAAAAAGAAGGAACTTTTACTCAGCTTTCCCTTGGTGCAAAAGTTCACTCTGGACAAAATGTAACAATCTTTGCCTCTAAAGGTAACTAACACTCACCATACACCATACATGGTAGGGATTTTGCCTTAAGCAGTCCAGAGTCACCAGGCAGACTACGGGCTGTAACAAAAGGTCTGGAGTCTTTCATTTGTGTGGATTGAATGGGTAAGAAATTTACCAAGTCAGGAATTCCAAGTAAAACGTTTCATTCTTCATCTGCTAATCGTGAAAAACCTGGCGGTGCTCCACAGCACTTTCATAAAGTACATACTGTTAACCAGAATAAAAAGTACAAAAAGATGTCCCCTACCCTATTGGAGAAAAGATGTAAGAAAATGCTTGAATCAGAAAAAGCACATTCTCCTCAAGTTCTTAAGACTTTTCCCTCCAAAGATTGCAAAACTGAAAATGGTTAAACATTTGACAAGAATCAAGCCCCGGAAGTTGCCAAAGGACTCCCGGCAGAGGGGGTCATGGCTAACATATGCCTCAAGAGCAATGGGTAAATGGGTAACTAGTTGTGGAGTGGCACCTAAACCCTCTGGACCACAAGGCAACTAAATCTGGCCCTTCCTGGTGGCGTAACAGGTTAGGACGCAGCACTGCACACTGGCGGCAGCCACTTCAATGTGGGTTCCATCACCAGCCCCAAAGGTGATCCACATGGCGCAGCAGACCTCTGCTGTCTCACCCACTGCTCCTCTAAGCAGTGTGTTTCAGTCAATCTACCTGCTCTGTTCCCCACTCTGTCTCTGGTGAATCCTCTCCCCCTCTCCACCTCTCGCCTGCACCCCAGCTCTAGTATGCATGAGTAAATAAGTATTTTTTAAATAAATAAATGCTTGCTTTGACCTGAGATTTCTACCCAGTGATGCCTCAAGAAATGCCAGGCATAGATACCATCAGATGTACCAGTCAAGGTAACTGGTAACTAGTAAGCTGATAACAAGTTCTGGGGGCTGACTATGATGAATACCAGAAATACATCTGTGATGGGCTGTTCTGATAGGCTGTTTGCTTATGGCTGTCTTTATTTAACTCAGTGTGAAAAGGCCAGCTACAGGTGTGTTGGCAGAACAGTTTTTTTAGGCTGTTTTGCCAACCATTTGATCTTGCTAAATTTTTCACTGGTGATCTGAAAATAAAGTGTTTCTTACAGATTAACTCCTGTCTCTGTTCATTGGCATCTGTAATGACAGGCAGCAGAACCCAGCCATGTCTAGTAACATTTTTCATTAAAATATTTTGGAAATAGGAAGAAAAAAAAGGACGGAATAAAGGACATTGGGTAGACAACCAATAGTTACAATAGATATTGATATTGAGTAACTCACATATTGGCTGAGTTTGAAGAACCCAACTCGAAAAATAATGGAAAACCACCTAAACCATGGCACAGAATTCATCTGCCACTCTCCTTGCTGCTGTCCCCAAGCTCATTGTGCTGTGAGCTTGCCTCACAGACTCCACTAGCCCACACTGGATACAGCCCCGAGCACTTGCTGCCTGGCTGGCTCGGCCAACTTCTCCTTGAATCTGATTTTGCTACACACATTTTCCACTGCTGGCTGAGAGGATTTTCCAAGATATCTGCTACTTTGTACCACGAACCTCCATTTACTTTATGCACATAATAGGTGTAGACTAGATCAAGTTCTTTTGATTAACATTCTCCCATTTACACAACTAGTGTCTCTCGGACACTTTTGAAACCAAAGTTTTTGTTTTTGTTTTTTTAAGATATATTTATTTATGCATACAAGAGCTGGGGTACAGACCAGAGGTGCAGATGAAGGGGAAGAGGATTCACTAGAGACAGAGGGGGGAGCAGAACAGGCAGATTGAAGAAGTACACTGCTGAGGGGAGCAGAGGATGAGACAGGAGAGGTCTGCTGTGACATGTGGGTCAGTTCCCTGACAGGGCTAGAACTTATGCTGCCCTGGCTGGTGATAGCTTACTATCACTGTTTTAACCCTGTGCCACCAGGAGGCCCTAGGGTATTAGTTTAAGTCACATATATATATATTTTTTAAGATATATTTTTATTTATGCATACGAGAACTGGGGTATAGACCAGAGGTATTGG